CTCCGCCGTTATCCTGGCGTGCCCATTTGGGAAAAAGAGGAGCAGGAAGAAGGCAACTTCGGAGCACTGCCTTTTTGACCCGCTGACTAGACAAACACCCTTTCTCTTCCCCCACCCCATCTCGCCTTAATCTAGAGAGAGAGAAAGAGAGAGAGAAAGAGAGCCGACCTTCTCCTCTTCTAAAATTCCTTTATAAAAACCCCACCCCATCCTCACCTCTTCCCTCATCATCTCCTTCCCCTCCCCCTTTCTCTCTCTCTCTCTCTCTCTCTCTCCCACCCCACCCCCCCTCTCTCTCTCTCATTGAATTGAACAAACTAAGGAAAGATTAAATCAATCTATGGAGATGAGCAGCGCGAACAAATTGACGTGTGACTTGCTGGTTGAGATTCTCTCTCGACTGCCCGTCAAATCTCTGTACCGCTTCGCCTGTGTTTCGAAATCTTGGAACGCCATCATCACCAACAACAATGGTTACTACCGCAAGAAGCTACCCTCGCCCCTCTCCGGACTCTTCTATGAGGTGGGCGACGAGTTCGATGAAGACTCGGTGTACGTCAGCACGCCAACCAATCACCTGCAGCAAGAGGATTCTATCGGCTTCGACATCAAATCTGTTCTCGGTTTCTTGCCTCAACATCACAAATTACTGGTGCAAAGCACTTGCAATGGCTTGATCTTGTGTTCTACTCGGCCTGACAAGTGCCTTTACGTATGCAATCCAGCCACCAAGAGATATCACAAGATACCTGAACCTGCAGATGACCATCCCTACCAAATGGCCTTAGCCTTTGATCCCCGTCTCTCCCCCCACTACAAGGTTGCCGCGATGATCAATAGACGAGACACCAATTATATGGAGATCCTGTCATCCGAGACCCGTGAGTGGGTAAAGTACGAGGACTGTAAGGGCCCGATTAATCATGCATATACCACTGTTTCAGCTTTCGTTCGTGGAAATTTGCATTTCTTGGACCTCGACTGCTCTTTCATAGATGCAGTGGATCTCAAGAAGAAGGTTTGTCGAGAAATAGAGACACCACGTACTAAAAACCCCATACGGATGGGATGCATTCAGCAATTTGGTGGAAGTTTGCGTTGCGCTCTGAGAACGACAAAAGAAATATTTGTTTGGGATTTGGTGGATTACGATAAACTGCAATGGAGGTCGAGATATAGGGTCGACCTGCAAATATTTACCGAGCAACCTCGAGAGGATTGCTGGTTCTGGTTGCACATCGAAGTCCGGGCACTTCATCGATGAGTGCTCAGAATCTGACGCAGCAGTTGATTTCTGGGTACCACAGCAATCTCCCGTCGTCTCCGACTCTGAATTCGTCGTCGTCGTCGTTTGGGCTCGATCATTCTATGGCGAAGGCCATCATGAACTCGAGGTCCGCTGCGTTTGCGCAGAGAAGCCAGAGCTTTATCGACCGTGGTGCGGTTAATCGCCTGTCCGGCGGTTTCTCTGCATCTCCGGCGACTGCTGGAATGGGTTTGACTAATTGGGGCTCGCCGGATGGGAAACTGGATTGGGGGATTCAAGGAGAGGAGCTGAACAAACTGAGGAAGTCTGCTTCGTTTGGGTTCAGAAATAACCAGTCTCTTTCGCCTCCGAGGGCTCCGGCGCCTGCGGAGGCTTTCAATGAGCCTGACCTCTCTTGGGTTCAGTCCCTGGTGAAGGATGGGGAGTTCATGTCCTCTCCGTGGGGGGAGGAGCAGATGGTGGCTTGAGAATCGGGGAGGAATTCAAAAATCGACAACTGATCTGACTGTTAAATTCTTTCGTGATGCTATTCGTTTGTTCTTGATTCAGGATTATATGTAGATTTTAGATTGGGGGCTGTCGCAGATGCCCGAAGGGAGTCTGAATCGATGGACGCTGTCTACACAGTTCTTTCATTTTTATATATATATATTTTATATATATAGCTTCATATAGTAGGAGGAGGAAGAGGAGAGAATAAGTTCTAGAGATGTGTAAGCTTTTAAATCTTTGATTGGGTCTTTTGCTTGAAGGCCTTCGAGAGATTATGTTCACCTAGCTCTTTGCTCTTGCTTGAGCTTTATATAGCAAGAGATTGTACAAAATATCTAGTAAGTTGGTATATCGTAATCTCTATTGTTCGTTTCTTGATTCATTGCAAGCATATATTATGTATAATGCTTTTAGAGTTGATATTCAAGTCTAATGTATAAGGGCATATTTGTTTGTTCTTGTTCCATCCGAGTACATGTATAACATTGAAGTTCTTGAGGGAATGATGAGGGAGAAGCAAATGAGGTACCTTCATACTTTTGGTCCTCGAGGATAAAGCTAATGCAAGTTTATGTTGTTCATCTCCATTTTGTGAACGTTAATTATGCTCCACTTTGTGAGATGCGTTGAAATTTCTTTTGAGGAGAAAAATCACTCTCTAGTTTTGTGCCAGTCATAATCATCAGATAACGTCTAAATGATTGTAATTTGTTCATGGCGCACTGTATTTTCATTGAATCGCATTTATTTCTCAATTTTCATGCGATAAAAACCAATAACCATTCATTTAATACTCCGTAGTTATGAAAGAGAGCATCCATATCCTTTTCTCCTGGGTAAAGCTTTTGCACGTAAGCTATATGTATATGTGAATATCATAATCCTTATTGTTGATCTCTTGCAACATCTTGAGGAGGCGGTCTCCTATGTTCATTCTTGTTATCAGAGAATGATCTATGAAGCATATAAGGGATTATCTTAATCTCTAATGTCCTTCCTTGTCCGATTTCAACTATGTGCTGCCTTAACATGTGAGCAAATTACAAAGTCTACTGCTTTTAAGGAGACGGTTTAATAATTGACACTATCTTAATTATCCCTTGTTCTCATTTGAGGATGCAGTGTCCTCATCTCTTCCCTTCGAATCATCCACACATTCACACTTGGCAAAATTATGAAAGGGAGACTTAAACAATACTCTCCTTTGTTGATTGAGGAATATATGCCTTATTTTTTTTCTTTATTGATGGTATTAGATACATATTGGGAATGACTTAATTCAGAAGAAAGTTGCTTCTTTAATCCATGGCCTGTGGTTGTGCTTATTTATAGTTGTTCAGCTTTTCATTCCTATTCATCCTGCCATGACCTATAATAAGCTACTAGGTTGAAATTTTGCACCACGGCAGAGTTCAGAGTCCTTCAAAGTTCAAACTCCTTTTTGAAGTATTTCAAATATTTCCATTATTTTTGCACACATTGTGACCCTTAGCTATAGATTTATTGCATAATGCTCGACTTAATGGAGAAATCTATTGCTTTTTTTAAAAACCAATAATGTATGATCTGCCCCTTTCATCAAGCAATTGACCAGTTAAGACGATGAAGAAAATTGTGGCCTGATGTTAACCTGATTGTGACAAAACCAGTATTAATTGGTTGGATGAGATCATTGAAATCATATTGTTGAAAGTTTCAAACCTACAGTTTTAATTTTCAAAGCTCAGATAGGTCCAACATAGTTGTATGATGATGTTCACAACATTTAGAAAAAAGGGGTTTATTTGACTAATTCTGTTTGGTTTGTCATTTTAACTGTAGTTTACTATATTGCATGATGAATTGTTTACTTCATAAGAGGGACATCTACGACTTTACTAGGGATGTCTTTCGTTTGATTGATAACTGCATCATATATCTACCCATACTATTGTAGTATGCAGCCTTGTTGGATTCTTGTATTTTTTGAAAAAAATATTTTCAGTCTTAATCCGGTCCTTTTAAAGCGACAGAAAGTTAAATTTATGCTAGCCTAACACTTGAAAACTAATCCTTTCTAGTTTTATCATAATGATTTTATAATTAAGTGGTTTAAACGGATCATCATCATTATGTTATCTATAATGATTTTCTTAGAAGGAGACAACTATTGTACTACTGTTGTTGTGGTGTTATATATTTCTGTTCATTAAACAACATAGATAGTTGTTCTTCATGTTTTCTACTTGCCGATATTCAAATGCTTCCTCTGCTTATTTAATTACTTAAACTACTTAACAAAAGCTTATGATGTGTAAGATAAGATTACACAATAAAATAATCTTCCCTCTTGCATCGTTAAAGTAGTAGCTGTTGGATTACTATAATCTCTAGTAGATTACAACTATTCTCATGTTTTAAAATGTAATGGCTTTTTCATGGTAACAGGCTCTATGATCCAAACCTCAACAGACAATTACGAGTGCATATATTCTTTGCTGATAGCTACAAAATTCTATATGCAAACATCGCCATCATGAATTCAATCCTATATATGTCTATGTTCTACAAAATTATCAATTAAATATTGTTTACATGTATTAGAAGGAACCATTTGTCGTGTAGACCTGATACATCCTAAACTAGAATGTAGGCGTCAAAAATTGCCTATACATTATCATACGTAGCTCAAGATAGAGAGAAGGCGATAAAAAGTCATCATCTGAGTTGTAGGGGATCACCCAAAGCTAAAGATCAACTAAAGAATACATAAGAAGCGCATTATGCAAATTTCAAGGTGCAAAACATGTCTCAGAAGCATAAGAGGAACTCATAATTTCCGAGACAATTACAAGTGTCTCGGAAACTACGAGGAAGATTGCAGCTTCCGAGACACATACAACTATCTCGAAAGCATGAAGGAAAACTACAATTTCCGAGACAGTTACAACTGTGTCGGAAGCTATGAGGAAGACTGCAGTTTCCGAGACACTTGTAACTGTCTCAGAAACTAAGATAAACTAAACAACGGTTTTCTCGAGATTTGTGCACTCCACGTGGCTCTATAAATGTCAGAGCTCGTGTGTAAACGTGGGGAGGACGTTACAAGCGAAAATCACGCTCATAACTACAGAAATCATGACATTTAAAGGCAGGAAAGCGGTTATAAAATGACTAAAATGAAGCATGCTTCCGAGACAGTTGTAATTATCTCGGAAATGAAAAATCAACCACGCTTCCGAGACAGTTACAACTATCTCAGAAATAGGAGTCCCCAGACACAACTTCTTTTCGACTTCTTGTAGGATCTGAAATAGATACACTAGAACACTAGAGGGGGGGGGGGGGGGTTGAATAGTGTTCTTTTAAAATTATTGCAAAGTAGATAATAAATTGCAAAGAAAAAATGGCAATCTCAGAAATTTGCAAACACAAACACAAGGATTTTATACTGGTTCCACCAAACCGGTGTACATCCAGTCCCCAAGCAAATCCCGCTTGAGAGTTTTCACTATGATTTTGAATAAACTTACAAAATCAAACGCAAACCTGACCAATTTGCAAGTCCCTGCAAATTGCAATACCAATTGACAAACTCCTTACCAATTTGAACACCAATCTCTAACCCAAGAGACTAACCCTCTCACAACCGAGAGAAAACTTGTTGAAGAAGAACACAATGATCCTATAAGCCTTGAATGTGTAATAATGTGCAGCAGTGGCTTAGGATTCTTTTAATCTCTGTAAAATTGCCTAATTGATTTGTTTTTGATGAAAGTATATAGGCAATTTTAGAAACTCTTCTTTTTCAGAAAATCAGAATGTTTTTCACTTGGAAAATTGCTCTAGAATCAAAGCTTATGGGTATGTATATATCTTTCATTTTTCTGAACAAATAACCTATATATACCCCTTGAAAAGACAAGTTTTTAAAGTTTAAAAACGTTTAAAAACGGCCAAGAACTGTCAGATATTCAAATTCTGAAAACTGAAAAACTGTCTCTTGTAGTCGACTACTGTAGTCATTAGTCGACTACACTGTAAAAAGACAGAAACTTATGTTTCTGTCAAACATCTCAGTAGTCGACTATAATCTCTATTAGTCGACTATACTGTAAAAAGACAGAAACTTGTATTTGAGTTATATACATGAGTAGTCGACTACTATCCTAATTAGTCGACTATTAAGATCAAATATTCAGAAATAATGAGTTTTTATAATTAAGTTTTAACTACTATTCTAATGGTTAACATAGGGGATTTCTATAGTTAACCAACACACTAAGCCTGTGTTAGTGTGTTCTAAAAATGTGTGTGTGTGCGTGTGTGTGATCAAGGCTTGTACAAAAATTCTAAGCAAAGAAAAATTCAAATACATTATCTTTTGTTCTTCATTTTCTTCACTTCAAAATGCCTTGATATTCACTTGCACTTGTACATATTTTGATATTGAAATCTGCATATGAAAGTTAGTGCACACAAAATATAAATTGTTATCATCAAAACATTATCATGGAGAAATGATATTCAACATTCTCCCCCTTTTTGATGATAACAAATAATTTATGCATCATATTAAATTTTAAAACATGTAATACTTACTCCCCCTGCATATATGCAAAGTTTTTAACATTCATAATAAAAAATATAAAACTTAACTATTTCTCCCCCTTTGTTATCAACAAAAAGAAGAACCTAAACATAACATAATTTCTTCAACATGAGCTAATACTTCAAACAAATCTAGACAGATCCATTTTGTTCCAATAATGGATTTATTTTGAGGTCTAGGTATAAGATCCCAAACATTATTTCTAGTAAATTGATTAAGTTCATCTTGCATAGCTATTATCCATGAATCATCAAGAAGTGCTTCTTTTATATTTTTAGGTTCAATAGTTGAAATAAAAGCATTATGAGCAATCAAATTAAAATGAGATCTAGTAGTTACTTTGTCAGATATATTTCCTATAACTAAATCATGTGGATGATTTTTAACTTCTACAAAATCTTTAGGTAAATCATTTTGTAGATTATCATCTTTTGTAATATCTATCATAGGAGTATCTTGTATGGTATCAATTACATCATCATCATTATTTAGTATAATAGGTATTTTTGAAAAACTTTCATTAAAAGAAACATGTAAAGATTCTTCAATAACTTGTGTTCTTTTGTTATAAATTCTATATGCTTTACTGTGATTAGAATATCCAACAAAAATTCCTTCATCGGATTTTGAATCAAATTTATCTAAGTTATCCTTTGTATTTAAGATAAAACATTTACAACCAAAAACTTTAAAGTAAGATACTTTAGGAATTTTGTTATAAAATAATTCATAAGATGTTTTCTTTAAAATAGGTCGTAATAAAACTCTATTTAATACATAACATGCTGTTGATACGGCTTCTGCCCAAAAATATTTAGGTAAATTACTATCACATAACATGGTTCTAGCACATTCTTGTAAGGTTCTATTTTTCCTTTCTACAACTCCATTTTGTGGAG